CTTACATATATTTTACGGAATCAATGATATAGATTTATCTTACCTGTAGTTAAATATTAAATTAAGGAATGCCATCAACAGTCCTATTACGTTGAGTATTAGTTTAAACTTTTCGTAGTCATCTTTATAGCGTACTTTGTCATTTCTGTTTAGAATAGATACATTAACATCACCAAGAATAATCTGTAATTTCATAAAAGCTTTTAAACATATTCCAGTGGCTATAAGTAAATTTAAAATAGGGGTCTACGGTACTAAAGTGAATTAATGTTAGTTATTTTTTTAACTAACAAAATTACTGAGAATTATTCTCTCTTCTTTAACTTCAATTATTTTAAATATTTATATTTATTCACACAGTCGTACATAAATTGTGTTAATATGTAGCTACCTTAATATAGTTCTAATGTATTAATTTGATATATTTTCAATTTTTCATTTAACAATAAATTTATCCTATTTTAGTAACATAAAAACTTAATATAATAAATAATATAAAATGACATGCTTGCATTGCTCGAGAAGATTGCTAACAAAATTTAATGAAAAAAAAAACACGTTAATTTTTTATTATTTTATTGGATATACTTCATTTTAATATGTTAAAGCCTAGTAGGTAGCATCAGATAAGTAAAGATAGAATGAAAAACGTCTTTGACGTTTATATCTTTCGTATATTGAAAGCTATGACTTTCAATATACGGCGCAACATTGATAACACAGATCAATATTGTTCATTTTTGAAAGTAGAACTATTAAATTAAAAAAATAATTTCTTTGAGAACTAAACGTCAAAACAAAAAAAAACTGATTTAAATTTATTTAGAAATGATTTTTTTATTCTAAGAACTCTTTGTGCTGAATAAAGAAACGATTTTTCTTATATTGTACTTACTCTTAAATAAAGTCCAGATTTTGCAGGAAGAGATTGCTCTATTTCATATAGCTGAGCTTTCCTCTTTAATGTATTTTTTTGAAGTTCGGAAACTTTTTCTTTTTCTTCAGGTTTTTTGAATCTTAAGAAAGCCAGTCAAAAGAAAATTATTTATTATAATTATTTTAAAATGTACACAATAAATTCATATATTAAAAAGCATATCCATACATTATATAAGACTTTTGTTTTATGGTAAATACCATGCGCTTTTTAATAATGTTTTTGGGTTTCTGATTAAATTGATTTACTTGCTTATTGAGTTATTTTATAATCCTAAAATCAAAAATATACGATTATAATTAATAAGTTAAACTTAATTTTGTAACTTAATTCTATTATTTTTTTTTTTAAATTTGTTATCCAAAATATTTTATTCTTTTATTTGTGACCAAAAATATAATATAATAATTTATTAGCGGGGTAATTGATAATTTAAATAGAAATAAAAATACTATAATTTATTTTTATATTTTAAAACAGATTAAATTTTATTAAAATATTTTTCTGATATTTCGACTATCTTCGATAGTCATCTCTTTTTAAATATAAATAATAAATTATAGTTAGCGGGCTACTAATAAATTATTATATAAATTTATTATCAAAATATCATATACCATACTAATTATTCTTATTGTGATCTTATTTTATAAGAATAATCAGACTTATTAAAATAAGGTTCTACTGTGTGTCGTTTTCCATTTAGTTTTGTACTATTTCTAATAGAGAATATCAACAGAAAAAGGATAATTTAAATTACTAAATAAAAATACAGTTCCACATACATTAAATAACATTCATCATTACTGGACTTATCTAGAGAAAAACAAAATAGTAGAAATAGAATTGTCTCTCAAATTATAAATCAAATATATGTACGTATTTTTAAATAGATTAGATTGAACAGATACTGTAGAAAACGATACAATGTACACATCCTTTCTATTTTTAAATATTCTTAATCGCATTGATTTTAAATCTTAATCTCATTGACTCTAAGTACAGATAAAGAAAAACACTTAAAAGAGTTTTAAAATATCGATTTAGTTTTAACCATAATTTTAAAATATATGGTTTTACAAACATATTTATATCTGTTGAAGAATAATTTGGATGTATTACGTATAATCGGCATATACATATATATATATATACATATATATATATTTGTAAAGTAAATTAATTCAAATTCATATGCAAAAGTTCATATGAAGAACACTTATTCCTGAAATTATTAAGCAAATGTACAAAAGTTAAAGTACATTTTTAACGTAAATATTTTTTGATAAGGAAAACGCAAAGAGTTAAATTACCTTAAAAATTATATAGATATTTCATTTAGTTTTTGTAAATTGATAAAAAAAACAACTGATTAGCAGTGGTAATGACAGCAACAATTTATGTATAGGTTCGGTATCTATGCTGACCAGAAATAAACAATTTATCAACGAGTGTTAACAATTTTATCCATTAGATTGCAGTTTTTTATTGAATTTGAACTTTTGTACTTTGTAATAAAAAAGGTATGAAATAAAGCGAATTACAAAATAAGAAATTAAAGAAAATAAAAGTCCAAATTTGAAAATCAACACTACTTACTGTTTCAAAGATGCATTTATTTGGTTTATTCGATAACGTTGATGTTTAATTTCATTAAAGCATTTCTGTTGATGACTATATAATTGTTCCAATAACTCAATATATTTACGATTGCAGTTCTGAAAATAAGAAGTATAGATTATGAATAGATTATATGAATATGTTTTACTAATCACTCTCACTAGTGAAAAATGTTTAATACAAATTTATTATTTGTGCTTTATTAGAAAAATAGTTAAAATAAATATCGTAATTTTACACTTCCGTATTTTACTATAGCTGTTGTATTACCTCAAGCTCCACGAACTCCTTGCCAAGCTCGTCCCACTCATTGCTGAGTGCGTCAATACTCATTCTACTTTTAATTACTTTATTAAAAACGAAAGCAATTAATTATGAATATTTAAAAATGGTATAATTTGTTTAAAGCAATTTGTATTTTATATACGCGTTTATTGAAAATGAAAAATCAATTTTTACACAAAACGAACCTTACGCGCTACGCACAAAATTTGGAAGTAGGTATAACTATATTTTTTTGATGTTCACTTGTTGCTTAATTGATGGCGATTAGTTTTACCATTTTATAGAACGAATAGCGTAACAACAATATGATTAAAGTTTTAAAAAAGCTTTAAAATTTTCCCTTGTTTGCTGACACTGCCACGTTTTTATCAAATAATTTTATAAGACAACTTTGACTTCATAACAACAGTGTGTTGTTTAAATTACCCAGATGATATCAAATATCATAATAGTGTTAAATCGGTGTTAGATTTCTTTCTACTACATTATACTAATTCTTAAAGAATTTCATTAACGTCACAAACACAACGCGCGTTTCATTTGTTTTTTATATACAATACAATTTGTCAAACTCCTCTTCTTTTGAAATTCACAATTCACAATAGAGCCTGTGATTATAAAATAATTTAACATTTATACATATATATATGTTATTTTCTAAATACTATTATTGCGGATATGTACATCATATTAACATTTCAGTTTCCGAATTAATTGAAAAAATTATAGATACGTTTTGTGAAGGAAGATGAATATTTATGATTAGATAATATTAGCCGTTATTTTTTCTTTCAGAAAAGCAAAAAAATACTCACAAGTGAAGCAACAACAATGCTCTTAAAATCTACAGACTTAGGTTTTAGTGGTAAAAAAATTTTGCGTCTTAAGTTTTAGTGCAGCCAAATTCAAAAGAGAGTATATTGTGAGTGTTCATTGGAAATATGTTGCAAATTTTCATCCATCCGTTAAAATCATGTGAGCATTTCATTTACTAATAAACTCATATACATAAATAAATTAAATAAAAAATATAAGCTAGAAATGCTAACCATTGCGGTTCTAATATTTATTTTGCTTTCTTTTAATTAAATTAATAAATTTTTAGTGTTTACAATTTTATATTTCATATTGTACACAACACAATAAAAATCATAAATATGACAAAAACAAGTATTTCGAATATTCTGAAATTGATGGCAATTTGTTTCAACCAGACTTAAATTTGTTTTTTACAACTCTGAAAGAAAATATTATGGCTATAATTTGACCATAGTATAAGTACATAATTGTAAATTATATTTTAACTTTGGTTATTTAATTTTTGTTTCTTTTATATGTATTAAGAAATAATCACAATATGGCTACACGAGAGTAATATTTAGAATTATGACTTGATTTCGTATAAATTATAATTTAATTGCAATTTTGTTAGGTAAATTTTTATATGGAATCGGATAGCAATTTCAACTTGATTTTACTGCAAAGTGAATCGAACAAGCTGAATGAACAATATTACTTTCAGTATTAGAATTACTTATGATGTGTGAATAGACTATATGATATCAATTGAGGGAAGACTGAAATATAATCAACTACAAAAAACAAAACAATTTACTTTACAATGTTTTTTAGTTATAAGTTAACCGTACAGAAAAATATTCCAAGCAAAGATCCTTATTAACTTTACATAAGAATAGGGCTGTTGTATATACCAAATACCAAATATATAGATATTAAAAGTTCCACAAAACTTGGCATTCTGCCTTTCATTCAAAAAGTTGAAAAAAGATGTCTTTCTTTCATTTATCATGAGTA